AGCAGCAGCAGCAGCAGCAGCAGCAGCAGCAGCAATGTCACCTGCAGCAACACGCCCAGTAGCAGCAACATCAACAAGAGCAGCAACACCAGCAGCAGCAGCAGCAGCAGCAACACCAGCAGCAGCAGCAGCAACACCAGCAGCAGCAGCAGCAGCACAAACAGATCAATGGCAGAATGTGCCTATCGATGAAGAAGTACGAGCAGTGCAGCAACGCATATAGTAAGCAGCAGCAGCAGCAGCAGCAGCAGCAGCAGCAGTAGCAGCAGCAGCAGCAGCGGCAGCAGCAGCAGCAGCAGCAGCAGCAGAAGAAGAGGAAGTAGTATGGATTGAGAGGGAGAGAACAGGGGAGTTATATTTATTTTATATTATATTATAATGTATTATATATATTACATTTATTATATATTTTATATATGCTATATATATATTATATATACATAAGATATATATATATATATATATATATATATATATATATATACCTTCTTACTAATACCTTAAAAAACAACTTGCATGCATTGATTCTTTCTTCTTGTTTTATTTAATTAGTATAATTAATATATATTTATATAGATATTTTTTATATAAATAAATAAATAAACAAATAAATAAATAAACAAATAAACAAATAAATAAATAAATAAATAAATATATAAATAAATAAATAAATAAATAAACAAATAAATATATATTCTTACTAATGCCTTAAGAAACAACTTGCATGCATTGATTCTTTCTTTTTGTTTTAATTAACTAATATAATTAATACATACAAAGATATATATTTTTTTATATAAACTAAATATTTATTTATTTATTTATTTATTTATTTATTTATTTATTTATTTATTTATTTATTTATATATTCTTACTAATGCCTTAAGAAACAACTTGCATGCATTGATTCCTTCTTCTTGTTTTAATTAACTAATATAATTAATACATAAAAAGATATATATTTTTTTATATAAACAAATAAATAAATAAATAAATAAATAAATAAATAAATAAATAAATAAATAAATAAATAAATAAATAAATATTCTTACTAGAGCCTTAAGAAACAGTTTGCATGCATTGATTCTTTCTTCTGTTTTAATTAACTAATATAACTAATACATACAAAGATATATATTTTTTTATATAAACAAATAAATAAATAAATAAATAAATAAATAAATAAATAAATAAATAAATAAATAAATAAATAAATAAATATTCTTACTAGAGCCTTAAGAAACAGTTTGCATGCATTGATTCCTTCTTCTTGTTTTAATAGGGGCCTCCATCGTGGTTCTCCCGGGTGTATAGGCAGCTCCCTCAAAGCCCCAAACAGCTGCTGCATTGCCTCCATGCTTAAACTACACATTTCTTTATTAAATAAAAAAGGAGAAATAAAACTATTCAATAAACAACGGTACCTCAGCATCTCTTCTGGGGGCCCCCCGCTGTCCAGGGGGGCCCCCCCTTCTGCCTGGGGGCCCCCCTCATCGGGAGGGGGGGGGCCCTCTGCATGCAGCGGGGGGCCCCCTGCATGCAGTGGGGGGCCCTCTTCTTCTGGGGGGCCCCCTGCTTCTGGGGGGCCCCCTTCATCGCGGGGGGGGGCCCCTGCATGCAGGGGGGGGCCCCCTGCATGCAGCGGGGGGCCCCCTTCTTCTGGGGGGCCCCCTTCATTGGGGGGCCCCCACCCCCCCCCTTGAGTATCAATAGAGGGTCTTGTATAGAGAGCAGGGGGCCCCTCCATGGTGTATATGTAAGAGAAGAGAAAGAGATAGATATAGAAATAAATAAATATGTAAA